GGAGAAAAAGGAATTTTTCTATGAAGTACCAAGATTTTTGGCTCACCCTTTATCGCTGATGGAAATAAGAGTCTGAATCCGACGGAAAAAAGAAAACTCATTGATACAATATTAATCATATATAACTTAACTTAGTTTTCCTTGATGATTTCGAATATGATGTTCGTCTGAAGTCAAAAGAGGTTTATTGTACTCGAAAAGAATCGAATAATTATAGAAAAAGACGTAAATTGACTATTGAGGAAAGTGATTAGAGCAAAAGTGTTGTACTAGGCATCGAGTTTCAAGCTGAAAATGATTTCATGACAAAGTGCCCATTGAATCACATATTTGATAAAAACAAACTGCATGGTATACTTGAAGTAACTATAGGTTAATAAAAATGCGAAAAATTATTCTCTGTCATAATACATCTCAATTGGGGTGATATTTGGCATTTATCGATACATAATCTCTTGAATGTCTAAAACATTCTTATAGGTTCTGACTGAGAAACAAACTTCTGCATGAAATTAACCTATTTTCGGCGAATCTGATTCGAGTTTTAATGGACGTTCAGGTAAAAAACTGGTTTTTAAGGCTTCGAGAGAGTGCTTCAGATATTTCTTATTATGTGAGTGCTTTGGAATAAAAATGTGATATTTGTTACCAGCATACTGAATGCTATCGAACTCTGAAGACTTCTAGTAGAATGAGAATTGAAAAGTTTTTTCAAAACTTAAGGAGAACCCTAGATGTGGAAAATATGAGTCATGAGAAAGTACAAAATCAACTGGAGCAAAATAGTTAAGATTCAATTCATTAGATCTTAGATGTCGTTCTATTGCCTACTCTCTCATAAAAAATCCTTTATCTCATTACTTTATCTCTATGTTTTTCAAGATAAATGATTTACTTATCTTTATTTTCTAAAGTGATACTGGGGTGGATGTGAGTATGGGTGTGTGGGTGGGAGTGGATAGGTGTGGGATATGGGCATGGATGTGAATGAAAAGAGGACCGACATCCAGAACTAGACATATCCACCTCCACACCTACCCACACCCATACCCGCACTCAAATATGAATTTGAAATGATTGGTAAAATAAAAATGTGTAAATAACCTAGAAATTTAGAACGTACGTACCGAGCTCACTTTTTTGACCGAAGATCAGCTAAAGCACAGACCAAAACAATTAAAAGATTTGTTTGAAATATAGTAACACAACAAATAAAGCATTTTATCGTTTTTGAATATCTGAGGAAAGTAACTGTCATCAATTATAGTTTCTTTATTGTTCGTATTTTCTATGACTTTAATGAAGTTGAAAGAGGTTTGTGAGTTTCAGATTTTCGACGTACTACAAGGACAATTTTTTGACTAACCATTAAATTCTTTCCTTTCATCCTTGTTTTTTTTGTTCCAGATAACAAAAGTATCTGTAGAGTAACTGATACATTCGAATATTGGACAACAAAAGTATATTTTCAGAGGATGAGTGACAACAATTATATCCGTCTTCAACGTGCACACCCTCGACTACTGATTCCAGATTTAGAAGATTCAGAAGATTCAAAAACACTAGGCCCTATTATTGGTTATGCTCAAGAGCCACTTCTTTCACTGGCTAAAGCATGTGAACCGTTGGTTTTAGTGGTCGATCATATATCCGGCTATATTACAGAAGCTCTGGCCAATACTCCGGATGATCCAGCCGATGGACTAACTCGCGATGAATCAGCTTCGATTCGTCTCTACACGATGGAATGGACTGGCGAATCGAGAAGTCTTTATTCCATTCTTAACCATACTCTCAGTACAGCTGATCGCGAAAGTTTACGACCATGGTTTAAATACCTTAAACTTTTTCTTACTGCCTTAGCCAAAATCCAATGTGAGCCTCCGACAATCGTCTGGCGTGGAGTGCAAAAAAACGTTAGTGACGAATATCCACTTGGACGTGAAGTGATATGGTGGGGTTTTTCATTCTGCACAACATCGCTTTCTGTGTTAGAAAACGATCTCTATTTAGGAAGCTCGGGTGAGAGAACTCTCTTTTCTATTGAAGTTTTGAACGGCAGAAGGATACGTGCTCATTCTGCTTTTGATACTGAAGATGAAATTTTATTGTTACCCGGAACGTGCATGGAAGTGCAATCAAAATTTGATCCTGCAATTAAGCTCGAATACATTCATTTAAAACAAAAGACACCGAAGGAAATATTACTTGAACCTCCATCTAAAGGTCTTTTCAACTTGAACAGTTTTTTGTTTTGAATTAAAATATGCATATATTTAGATGCATGTCTTTATCCAAAAATTTCGACACCGACGTCAAAACATTATTGGTATAGGAAAAAGAGATTCTTCATTTCAATCAGCTTCCTGATACTTGTGATC